TGTGAATTTGCTCTGTAGGCAGTAAGCTTGGTAACAGAATTTCATAGTCATGGTTACAAATATTATGTTTTTTCAGTTAAATTCAGCATTAATTTTAATCAGAAGCTTATACAACTCTCCCTTGCTTTCTTTTTTCATCACTAACATCCATCAGATCTGCTCTTTTTGCCATCAGTCTCCTCCAGCTTCTTTCTCTCCCTCTCTTGACATTAAAGGGGAAATCCACCAATTTTGCAAAATTACTCAATCATTCAATGGTTCAGATGTAAACAAAAACATTCAGAGTGGTTTGGTGTGAAATGCGACTGCCTAGAGAAATTTACAGAGGCAAAATTGTTCACCATTGTAGTAATAGGAACCAGATGTTATTATGTCTACACTGCAAATATCACCATTTTATCTGCTATCCAAAATGACCAGTGAACTTATACGTGTCTTATAGCTTTTTAAGTCATACTGATAAGGGCAAAAAAGTGTGAAAAAATCTTTGGGTACTATTTTTTCCTTACAACGCATGGACCTCTCTGCTGTGCATGTGTTCTGTGTTGTTTGGGTAGGCGTGTGGCATTGCATGATGTCAGCAAAACTCAGAGCTTATGTGAGTGTTCATCAGTGGAGCTGTGATAGAGCACTATTGCACCATGCTGATTAATTGTTCAGAATGAACTGTGCTGTACCAAGAGGCAAAAATGAATAGAGATAATACAGTATGGTACAAATACCAGAAGTCCTTAAGTTGTAACTAACTGTTTTGAAACTACAATTGTTTTGGTACATATAAATAGCGAAGTTGAACAGCTCTACAAATTTAGGGTTTGTAGCAACCACTTCACAAAGACTACTCAAGACCAGTGAAAAAAATGCAAAGCGGATTTCTTTAAATGCTGGCTGCTAAAGAAAACTGACATTCCCTCTGTTGTATTTTCCACCACAGAAACTGGATTCAAGGTAAGAAACGTATGTGTGTGAAATAAATTAGTAGCCATTAGCCACTGCACATATATCAGTGTTAGCCATTAGCTTACAACAGACTGTCCAGAGTGGGCCACGCAATAAAATAACTATCTACCTCGCTATCCTACTTCATAAGCTGGTAAGTAGCAAGCAGTTTGTTCAGTCGATGGGTTCAATCTTTCTCTCTGCCCATTTAACTCTCTCTTCTTCAGGTCGCGGCTCTTAGACATTATGGAAACACGCCTCCTCGAAGTCCTCCACATACTCTGCCATCTTCCAAAATTAGGTAAGAAAACTGTACAAAACTGTAAAGAAAAGCTGCTGCTGGCCTTAGCTGGTTTGAACAGCTGTAGCTACAGGCTAATAACAACAAAAACATGTTAGCTTGCATATATTGATCTCAGTTGAGAATGCAGTTTTGAGAGGAAACACAGAAATAATCCTGGAGTAATAGTTCTTACTAAAAATAAATTTTAGGCTTTCAAACTTTATAACAAAACAACGTCTCAGGTATCAAGCAATGCATCATTTTGTGTAATAACAGGGTGTAGCTTTTAGAGCCATTAAATGTGTTGGATGTCTGCCTCCTGGTACTATAATGCGCATTTCTGTCTGAACCATTCTGAATGATTGTGTTTACATCCAAACCATTGAATGATTGAGTCCTTTTGCAAAATTGGTGGAGTTTCACTAAAGTTAGCTAGCTAGAGTTAACAAGCAGCCATGTGAAAAAAACAGATATCCAGCTGTACTGACCATAATGTCAAAAATCCATATTGTATGTGGACATATTCACTCTGTTTAACACTGTTCACTCTGTATATTATAGATTTTGAATAAGATCTTATGGTTTTTAGTGAGCTTTTAGCTAAAATCCTGTCTACAGTTTGGCTCCTGATTATTTTGCAGTGCATAAACAGAGCCCTTCCCCCAGGTCTGATATGATCAGCTTACAACGTATGAAGTCTAATATGACTGGCCAAACATTATGTTAGTCAATCTCTGGTAGTAACAAAGCCAGTTTATGAGGAGCCTGGCCACTTCATATTTCCCTTCTTGCATCAAAAACTTGACTGCAAAACGCCAGAGGGCGCCACGAGTGAGTTCTCAAGGAAGGGGGGTAAATTAAGCTAAACAGCTAAAAACGAAACGTCAAAACAGTTTCTAATCACTTGCTCAAACTTTCCTTTAATTTTAGAAAGTAGAAGGATGCATTTCACCAAAAAAGCACAAAAAACTTACCTATATGTTTAATTTGTTCTATAGCAAATGTGTTTTGGGCAGCAGGATGCTAGCATTACTGCTACTGAGTGCTGATTGGTTGGCGACTAGAGCAGATCATTGGTTGTTCACGCTCACTAACGTCATGAACGTACATGAGACCCTGTTTTAAACTCCTATAACTTGAGTACAAAAGCTCCTAAAATATAACAGCATTGTGAAAATGTTTTATGCTGTTCTGTGTTCAGGAAAAGAATGTATTATTTTATATTAAAAATGTTTAAGCATTTATAAACTATGATTTTGCTTAAATGGTTCATCTCAACCCATCCATTTTGGACTCGCTCAGGAGTGCCCTCTAGCATTGGAGAAATCCGGAAGACAGTAGAAAGATATAATTCTTCTCTGGTAGTACAGCAGAGGCAGCACCTTCCCCAGGTCACACCCTAGTATTACAGTACATTATGAATGAGAATAAACTATAGATGATTCGGACTACAAATGTACATTTACTTAGGAAGGCGGGTGCTAAAGCTCTGCTAAAATTGGCCTAGCAACGCCCAGACTATAAATATTCATTGCCAGCTTGAGGTACTGGTTGGCTGCTGTTTGATTTCATGCACTGAAGCTGATTCATCATTTGTGCTCAAATCTCTGTTTCCACATTTCATGAATTAGAAACATCAATTTGTATGTCAACAAATGTGGTCAAATCTGGACTCTTTGTTTATGCAAGGCTGATAAATAAGGGTCAGTGTCCGAATGGAAGTACTAACCCCATTCCGGAAAAGTTGTAAAATGACAAAAGAATCTGTGATTTGTTGAATTCTCTTGGACCTTTATTTAACTGACAAAAGTACAAAGAAAAGACTATTTTGGCTGATCATTGTATTTTGTAAATATAATAAAATTTTGAATTTGATTCCTGCAACACACTCAACAAATGTTGGGAGGGGCAAAATAAAAGTGAAATGTTAATAGAATATTTATGTTACACGGTTTTGAAACATTACACAATCAGCAGGTGAATTGGTAACAGGTGAAGTTATCATGATTGAGTGTAAAAGGAGCATCCACCAAAGGCTCAGTAAGAGCTCTTTGTAAGAGAATTGTCAAACAGTTCAAAAAGAACATTTCTCAAGATTGGACGTCTGAAAAGAATGTAGGTCTTTTACCATCTACTGTACATATTTTTGTATAAAGATTCAGGGAATCTGGAGAAATCTTAGTCCATGTAGGGCAAAGCTGGAAACCACTGTTGAATGTAACCCATGAGCCCTCAGTTGACACTGCATAAGAAACGTTCATGCTACCCTGTTAAATATAGCCACAAGGGCTCAGGAGTACTTCAGAAAACCACGGTCACTTAACATGGTCCATTACTGCACCAAGAAATCAACTTGAGCCTCAAGGAGAAATCCATACATCAATTGTATGCAGAAATGCCGCCGAGTTCTCTGGGCCTGAGCTCATCTCAGATGGACCAAAAGACAGTGGGAATGTGAACTGTGGTCAGATTAGTCCACATTTCAGCTTGTTTTGAGAAAAACTGGATGTTCTCTTTGCAAAAACAAAACGAACTTTCAGACTTTTATCAGTGAAGGGTGCAAAAGCCAATATTTATCAAGGTGTGGTGCATCATACCCACAGCATGGGTGACCTGAATATGTGTGAAGGTACCTTTGATGTGGAGCTGTATACTGGGATTTTGAAGAGACACATGTTGCCATCAAGACAATGTCTTTTCCTGGGAAGTCCATGATTATTTCAGCAAGACAGTGCCAGGCTTCATTCTGCATGTGCTACAACTCGTAGACACAAAGTGCATGTGCTTGACTGGCCTATTGAAAATGTATAGCGTATCATAAAAAAAGGGACTGTTTTCATTGTTTAATGCAGTTAACATCATTCTTAGTTAGTTTACTTTAAAAGGACACTGGCTGGAAGGTTTAGCGTTCATTGCATTCACAGATATCCCTACTGCAACCAGGGACATCAAACAGCTGTAAGTTGACCAACGTCCAGCTCAGGTCAGTCACCAGCGGCGGAGCGTCCGGCCCGGGACTGAGTGGTTGTATTGGGGGTTGGTCAGCATGGAGTAGAAGTAGATGGCTCATGGTGACCTCCTCCTGAGTTTGGCTATGTTCATGTGCCTTTTCTGTAGGTGTTAATGAAGAGCAAATTTAGAACAGAAATTAAGATCTCACCTGATTCTTCTTCACCATGATGTCACACTACTATCTCTGGACACACCTTTAGGTATGTATAGATTGATCTCGAGTGAAATAATGACTATTTGCAAATATTTTTATAAATGCAAGTACTTAACATTTATGAGCAGATTATGTGATAGTTTTTCATAAATGGCAAGGTTTGATTTAAGGAATGTAACAATTTCCCAGCAGGTGCTTATTTGTTGGACATTTTTACAAAATGAACAAACCCAAGACTTGAATTTACCCATGCATTTTTCCTCAGCTGTTAATTGTTATTACTATAAAATCATGAAACTACTCTGATATTTTGCCAGTAATTATATTGCTGCAATTTACAACATTAATATATTTTAAAAACATCAAAAGATTTTGATCTAACTTGCTTAAAAAGCTGTTTATAAATGTTTTAGTAATGCTTTCATCTACTGTAAACAATAGAACACAGTAGAAGAACAAAAAATAGAAGATTAGAACCGATAACAGTTTTCTAGTCTTTGCTTTTTCTCAGATGCATAGTTATAACAAAAGGAAGAGGATGTGGTTTCAAGCTTTTACCAACTTCTATGTATACTACTTTAAGGTGAAACTGAAATTGAAGTGGTTGGAAACTTATGAGACTGAGATCACTGGCAGCCTCCAATAACATGAGAAAGAGAGTATAGTCCTAACACACTGGACTCAGAGCAGTCCTTCCTGGCAGTCATGGGCTCAATAAGCCTATCTGTGTTGGGTCTCCTTGCATTCATCCGTACCTGTGATCTCTATCCACTCAGTCGTCCTAGCAATGGACTTCGTGAGTGCCGCAAAAATGTTACTTCACCAGCATTGGAGGTCCTCCCTGGGGGAGGCTGGGACAACTTGCGTAACCTTGATATGGGGCGAGTGATGAACATGAGCTATTCCCAGTGCCAGACCACCGAGGACGGCATCTACCTCATCCCAGACGAGGTCTTCGTCATCCCACAGAAGATGAGCAGAGTGGAGATGAACTCGGAGATCATCAGTTCATGGCTGGAACAGAAAAGCTCCACTTCAAGCTCCATTAACGCAGACGGGTCCTTCTTCTCTGTGATCAACGCCAAGTTCTCCACTGAGAACAAACGCATGAAAACCTATCAAGTGAAAGAGAGTTCTGTCATAGCACGGGTACAGGTGAGACTCAATAAAGTAACATTCAAGCTAAACCACTGTGTATTGGACTTAACAGTATGTTTGTGGAATCATTATATTTCGGAACGGCACAATATTCACAAATTATTTCCAGCACCAAAAAAATGTCAGCATAATAAACAATCTTTTTTAATTTGTGGCTTTATACAAAATAAAAAACCTGCAAAATGCATGGTCTTTAGCAACGGAATTCAGCCAACATTTTAATGGATATTCCAATGCATGTTGCATCTGCTTAGGTACACAGTGCACCACTGATGCATGCAAACATGTTTAGTACAGCAGAATGATGACTCACTAACTACAAAGGCCAAACCTTTTACAGAAATATTTACTAGTTGAGGAAACAATCCTAGCTTAAATGCATGAAATGTTTTATTAAATGCATGAAATATTTTATTAAAAAAATGTTCCAGTTTAAATGTTCGTTATAAATCTTTCTTATAAGATTGTTTTTTGTTGTTCATAAGCTTATCAAATATAATTTTTTTTCTGAAATAAAACAACTGAGTAGGCTTAATAGGAACACAGAACCCCCTTTATTTAACATTTGAGCCATATTTGACAACACAAAACTCTACACCTCTTTATTAGTGTCTTAATCTAGGTTTAATTCTATAAAAGATGAAATAAATAAAAAACTGTCAACATAAGGGGAACACAATTAGATTCTTATAAGAATCCTGAAAAGGAAAGCAACTGTATTCCAAAAACAACGCACACAGAAATGTAGTACATGTAGCAGCTTAAAACTTTTAGATTTTTGGATGGAACTTCCTTTTATGAAAACGCAACATATCTACTTTGTAACATTTGCTTTCTCATAGTAGATTTAATGATTCCACATTCCTTCTCCTTTTTTTCTTAGGTCCGTAATCATCTGTACACCGTTAAGGCTTATCCTGATTTCACTCTGGACACCCGCTTTGCCCATCAGGCACAGAAAATTGCAGAGGCCATCGAGAGCAACCAAACTCGCCAAGCAAATTATCTGTCAGAAAAAATGGTACTTGATTATGGAACACATGTCATCACAAGTGTTGATGCTGGTTCTATTTTGGTGAATGAGGACTATTTAAAATCCTCTTATGTTTCTGATATGCAGTCCTCGGAGTCTTCTGTTTCAGCATCAGCTGGTGCTAACTTTTTTAGCAAAGTTGAATTTAAAACTGATAGTAAGGAACCTCAAACATCTGAAACTCGGAACTACCAGGGTAACATTACATACTCCATAACACTGAGTCATGGTGGGGCTTTATTTTATCGTGGTATCACTCTACAGAAATGGCAAGAGAGCACACTAAACAATCTGGTAGCTATTGACCGTAGTGGACTACCACTCCACTATTTCCTCAATCCATCATTGTTTCCAGACCTCCCACTTCCAACAGTGAATAAACTAGCTCTGTTTGTGAGTCAGGCCATAGAACGCTACTACACAATTAACACTCGCCCTGGATGTGTGAATCCAGACTCTAAAAATTTTAATTTCCAAGCTAATGTAGATGATAATTCCTGTGAGGGTCCCAGCACCAACCTTAGCTTTGGTGGAGTTTACCAGCAGTGCACTCCCCTGACTTCAGACGGAGATGCAATCTGCCAGGAGCTCGCTGAGAAAAACCCAGCCACTGACTCATATTCCTGTCAGCAACCATACACTGCTATCCTATTGCGCTCAGAAACACAGAAAAGACCATACAATAACTATGAGTGTCGCAAGGATTGTCATTCGTGCTGGTTGGTGTCTCAGTGCTGTAAAGACATCTGTGGAAATGTGTACTATATTCGGCGTGCACGCATTGACACCTACTGGTGCTCCACTAATGTGGTAACTCCAGAGTTCTCTGGATATCTCTTTGGAGGTCTGTATGGCCCTTCTTTACAAAACCCAATAACCAAATCCAGATCTTGCCCTCCAAATTTCTTTCCTCAGAAATTTTTGTCAAATGGCATTATGATCTGTCTGAGCAGCGACTACGAAACAGCAACCAAATTCTCTGTACCTTTTGGAGGTTTCTTTAGCTGCCAGTCTACCAACTCACTTGCAGGAAGCCAGTCTCGCTGCCCACCACAGTTCAGTCAACATCTTGCCGCCATAAGCGATGGATGCCAGATACTGTACTGTGTTCAGTCTGGTGTTTTCACTAGAGGCAAGTTACTGCCCATCCAACTGCCACCTTTCACAAGACCTCCAGTGATGAGTATGATGGCCACAAATACTTTAGCTGTGATGACTGAAAGTGATCGAGCCTGGGTGAGAGTCAATGGTACAAAAATGTGGAGGGTGGCAAAGCCTGAGGACATCAGCAAAATGTCCCAGATATTTGAAGACTCCCCTCAGTCATCTGGGAAAAAGGCTTGTGCTGCCTTTGGTGTTACAGCCTTGGTGGCTGTCGTGGTGGCAGTAGCAGTGTTAGTGGTGTAAGTGAGGAGGAGGATTACTGGACCCGGCAGAGGCTACAATAAATTTCAAAGTACAACACTTAATGAGACTAATGTAGAGCGTTCACCAGAGCAAAAGTCAGCACTGCACTGAAAGCCCAACTCCAACTGTCTTACCTTAATGTCTGTCATTTTGTTTTCTTCATTTTTAATCTTTATATGTGTAATCATCTGTACACTGTTAAGGATTATCCTGATTTCGCTTTCCAACATGACGCATAGCAGCCATGACCTTCGTCAGCTAGACCAAACATGGTGACTTTGTTTTTGATATGTTCTCTTAATAAATGTATACACAAAATGACTATACTGAACGTCTATATGTATTCTATGTGCTCTTGGCATTTTATTTAACCTGTTGTTCAATCTCAGTATATTACAGAAAAAAACGTCAGTTAAATAAATCATGTCAGTCATGTAAAAAAAAAAGCACTGCATTGAACTGCAAATATGAACTAAGCTGCTGATAAAAATGTGAAAAGAGCATAATGAACATGGAATGTAAACTCCTTAAAAGCACAACCTAAAACAAAATTCAAGAGGATGGTGCACAATCCTGACCAGGTAATGAAGAGGACGGATTCTGGCCCAGATTTACCTGACAGGGAGGACATACACAGCACTGGCATTTTCTCCTATCTATAAAACACACAGTGCCAAACCCATAGACAAAACCCAGTAAAAACACACAGTTTAAAACAATGAGAATTACTGCGAATACAACGCATCATACAAAGACTTTCTCCCCAAATATACAGAATATCTAACTGCCATCCCATGACAGTTTTGAAACAAATGACTGATTACCTTAATCAAATAACAAAAATCTTAATGACATATTGGGAACACAGAGACAGTTTAGATGACCTATATGAGATAACTATTCTGCTCAACCTTCACCACATACACTTTACATTAAAATAAAATACACAACCTGACAATAGTATCAAGTTCTTCCCCAAGCCTCAATATTAAGGCTTGTCTGGGACAAGTTAAAGTTGGTTGACAATTTTCGTCCAGCCGGATAAGTAAATAAGTAAGGTAAAATGAACAGGCTAACAAATTATTTTACAAAACAAAAACTGTGTTTTGAGAGTAGCGAACACTTTTTAGAATGATAATTATACCATATACCTTAAATGTACAGGTTATCTACACTCTCAAAACAGATGGTTCTTTAAGGGTTCTTTATAAAGGCAACAGTTTTATCTAGGACCATGAGTTCTATATAGAACCATTTCATGATTCAGTGGTTCTTTGCATGGTAAAATGGTTCTTCAGATTGACGCAGAATAAGTTTTATATGGTTCTATACAGAACCTTTCTGAAAATGGTTCTATACAGCACCAAAAGGGTTCTTCTATTGTTACAATGTCAAGCTTGTAACAATAGAACACTACTTTTTGAACTCTTTAATGTATATGTATGTTTAGGATGTGTTGTAGGCTACTATAATGATTAAACTGTCATTAGGGTGGTACTCTCAAGGGTATGTCTTCTGGACCTTTAGTTAGAAAAAATAATTGCACCTTAAAACCACTACTATGTTTATTACCTTTGACTTACAAAGTGTTCACTAATCCGAGCCACGGATCGCATACATCACAGTAGCAAACATACTCTGCTCAGAATTTACAGCGCTACAAACACGTAAACAAAAAGCTAACAGCTAAGCGTTGATCACAGCAGCTACAAACAAATAACTTACTAAAACTGCACTCTGAACCGCGTCAGTAAAAGTGTAACTAACTCGAGTACATGACAAACAAGCATCATACTGGCCTTAAGAACAGTTAGTAAAGGATACACACTTCATTTATACACACAACAATGCACAATAAACTTGGTTAACTTCACTGTTGTTACTTTCTTAGTGATGCACAACGTTTAGAAGGGGCAGGAGTGAAACACTTTCTACTTTGATACAGCTCTTTATGATAAAAAAGTAAAATATCAAACTATTAGAGCACAAGTCTGCCGTGTGCTGGAAGCCGTTTTGTGTCACTTATATCGGAGAAGTGTGTAATTGTGCAACTAATTGATTCAATGAAATTAAATGAAGATTAATGTCAGAATTTTTGACACACCCCTGGAGTACCACAGTTTGGGAACCACTATTTTAGGGTAGGTACACCATATTGTCTACCAGGCTACAAGTCTTACCAAGTGGGATCTCTTAAAATTACAGTACAAACATCCTGCATAACTCTTCTCAAAATCACTGTATTCTAGTGGAAAAATGCATTGGCCTCTATTCATGCACAGCTTCTCATGCTTCTTAAAGTCTTGTGAGCACCCTCCCACACTCTTCTGTTTTTGAGAAGATCTTTTGTTCAGCTTTGCACAAACAAGGCTTGTGGTCAAGACATCCTGACGCGGTAATATTTCCTAGGCACTTTGCTTATCAGACATTGTATGTAGCACACTGCAAAGAAAAGGTTTGCCGGTTTGACCTCATTTGAAAACAACACAGCGGTGAAGAAGTGGTACTACAGCAGTCACTGGTACAAACCAGTCTTTATCAGACCTGCAAACAACCAGACAGCCAGAAAATGAATACAAGCTGGTAATACACATCTGCACTTGTAAATCCGTTTCACACACTGTATCCTCTGGATATTTATGGCCTTTTGGAGTCCACGTTATTATAACTTAGAATAAGCATTACACTAATTTTCTGATGCAGGCATGCTTATCACAAACCCTGTTAAAGAGAAGATTTTCCCATGTATTTCAATGAACTATAAGCAAAAAACAATTCGAGCTACTCAGCTACATCATGCTTTTGTTACTGTAAGCTTTTGCTACAAAAAAAGTGTAATTCTTTAATCTTAAGAAACCAAGAAATATAAGTTACATATTACTGAATTTTTAGAGACTTTAGAGTTATAAATGAGTTATGCTCCAGATAGATGGAACTTGGATTAGAGAGGACGTGTGACCCTGTGAGGGCCTAAACAAAAAATTGAAAATGCGGCACACAAATAATTGTACTCAGCAGACAATTTAGCTTTTATGGCACAAAAAAATAAAACCTGAAAAGAGGACATACCTGGGCTACCTGGGGAAACAATTCTATTATGAGAAATTAGACATAAGCAAACTGTTGTAATGGCTTTTTTCAAGTGCTGAAAGTTCGAACTAAATCGACCCATGCAATTTTGGAAACTGAAATGCTGTCACTGCATTTGGCAAAATAAGCTGTAGTCTTATCAGAGATACACAGAGCAGCTCCAGTTTCACAGGCTCCCACTATGCTGTCACAGTGTGATCCCACTGAGACCTAGATGAAATCAAAGATATGATGGCCATTAAGACTTACTGGGTAAGTTCAACACATAGTTGCTATTATCCAAAACACTACATGTGTACGTGTTATCTTAAACATGTTTTCAAACCTTGATAAAAAACCTTGATAAACATTAAAATAATTTATATTAACTTTTTTAATCCACCATTTCCCAATGTATTTTTTATTTACAATCTACTGCTGTAATATCCAAATACTTTGTTTCTTTTGTGACCAAAGGGCTTTTATTTTGAACAACACTCACACAATACTCTCAGTTGTTTGGTAAAACTAGCTTCACTAACAGAGAAAGGCGTCTTCTCTAGTTCTGTGTGTGGAGGACATGGTTTGAATTCTACTCAGAAATGCACAGGATGTGACAGCAGTTTACAGCTCATTATTTGTGCAGAGCCTCTTCTAGTGATATGTATCAGTATAATGTGTGATACTGTCACCTGCTTATCTTTACAATATTACTGAGAATGAACTGTGTAAGAACTGTCAACAATGAACGATACAATACTGTTTCTCATAGAGTGTTAAGACAAGTGTAGAAATATACTGCTTTACTTTAACTACAGAAAGTGTCATTAATGTGCAAAGTGTCTGTCAAAGTGTTGAGACAGGTGCAAAAGGGTTTGCATTGTTTTGTAAAGCACTTTGTAAAGTTTGTTTTTAAGAGTGCTGTACAAAAAGTTATAAGGCATTGATCAGAGCCTGGAAATTGATTAGACTAAATTTCTTTACTTTGACAAAAGAAAAATGTCATTAATCATGCGTCTGTAAACATAAAGTAAAGGATGAGTTGGTTAATAGAAATAAGTTATATATAAGATAGATATAATGTTATGTGTAGAGTATAAGAATGGGCAAATGTTTTACTTTAGAAATTATAACAAGGACACACAGTGTTTGATAGGAAGGTCTAATTTTGCATAAGACCCCTGGGACTTTATTTCTTTACTGAATTAATGTTTCCCATGTCAGTAAACAGCATCCATAAGAGTTCAAATGCAATCAAATGCTAATTGAGTGCTAATATCTCCCCCTTGTGGTGAATTCACAGCCTGCTAAACATGAGCAAGCGAGTTACAAGGCAACACAGAGAAAATATTTAATGAGTAATACTTACAATAGAGCATTACAACGTTATTATAGTTAACTAGAACTATTACTAAAACAAAAACTAAAATGAAAAAATGTGCTCATTAACTGTGAAAGAAAAAATAAACATTAGTTTTCTAAAACACAAAAGCTAAATCTAAACTATAATGTGCACTGCAAAACTAACTAAAAAGAAACAGAATTACTGAGACAAAAAATGTTAGTTTGTTTTTCCAGTGCATGAAAGAGTTCAGAAGTTGATCCCTTCTGTGTTTGGCCGTTTTTATGAAAAACTGGAGCCAAGCAGAGCTCAGTCTACTGTAGTGTTTATTTTATTCTACCCTTAACAAATATGAGAGGAATCATTAGCCAGCTATTAAGAAGCCTGAAGATCAGTGAAAAGCAGTCAATGTGCATTAATAGAGAATGCTTGGTTCACTCACTCACTCTGTACCACGGTCACTCAAGACTGCTCTGACCTACTTCAAGGTAAAATCTATTTGATTTGTAAAGTCTATTTCTATCTTGACCTAATGTAGTGTTTTCTGATTTGCTGTACTATTTTCTGAATATGCTGTAGCGTTTTCTGCAATTGCCATTCTGCATCACCTACGTTGTATCTACACTCTTTGTCCATTTTATGCGGTCTATTTACCTTATAAGTGCACTGTATAGTTCTACAGTTACAGACTGTAGTCCATCTGTTGCTCTGTATAATTTGTTGTACCCCTGGTCTTCAATGGTCAGGACCCCTACAAGACCACCAGTGAGCAAATATTATTTGGGTGGTGGATCATTCTCAACACTGACTTGGTGGTTGTGTGTTAACGTGTGTTGTACTGATAAGAATGGATCAGACACAGCAGTGTCTATACACTATCCACTCTATTAGACACTCCTACCTTGTTGGTCCACCTTGTAGATGTAAAGTCAGAGACAGGAGCTCATCTGATTCTGCAGTTTGTGTTGGTCATCCTCTAGTCCAGGGGTTCTCAACCTTTTTCCACCCCAAGGCCCACCTGTTTATACATACAAAGAACTGCGGCCCATAGGAAATCTAGAATGAATTTATTAAATGGGATTTTGGTTTTCTTAAGCGCTGACACTGAAAACCTGAGAATTAGGGTCTGAAAAAGATCAGACTGGATCAATCACAGAAACTAAAATTACAGTTATGTTAAAAACTGTAATATAACTTGCAAAACATCTCTGCTGTCATTTTAAGGCTCATCTGTCCTATTTTAACAGCTGCAGCAAATGAGAGTCTGTAATAAGTCAGACATTAAAATAGGCAGATTATACTGGCAGTGTTAGAAGAGGAGGAAAGCAAGCCTTATTAATGAATTTCCTTGTTTGATCACAGAATGCATTTCCATCAGAAGTAAACTGAACGAGGGTTTGTTTGGAAGTGGACCATGACCTGCGTTTTTTGCTGAGGCTGTTTAGACGTTTGTTGCAGACCAGAACATGGGTGGAAAATTTACATGTCAAAACGAAGTGAACTAAAGAAAATGTGATAGGTCCTTACCAAACAAGGTAGACGAAAACACCCTGAGGAACTAATACTAGCTCGTGGCTGCGTTATCTTAGACTGACAACGTTTGTTCAGCCTGCTACTGCAGCATTTCCCTCTTTTTATGACAAAGTGACGTTACTGGCCTAGTACAAACTGCTGCCTCTGCTTGAGTACAGGCCCACTAGAGGGTGCTTCACAGCCCACTGGTTGAGAAACCCTACTCTAGTCCTTCATCAGTGGTCACAGAATGCTGTTGGCTTGATATTTTTGTTTGGACTATTCTCCACCCAGCTGTAACACTGAGCTGTTTTTATTCTAAAAACTGATTTAAATACATTTGGTAGATTTGCATTAGCACAATGTTACTGCATAATCTTTATAGCATTTTCAATGAAAACTTAAATACATATGTAAGTACACAATCACTATACCTACAGTTAAATACATTCTGTTTATCTGCACAATTTTTTTCTTTTCTGAGTAAACATTGGTGATTTTTCTGTTGCTGGTATATCCGTTTATTCTATTTAAAGAGAGCAAGATTTTATGTTAGAGGCTGACTTTTTTCCATATTCATTTTTGAAAAATATTTTTGTTACATTACCCCAATTTACACTACTCCTAATTCCTATTTGAGCTTCAAGTGTTAAATACTCTTAACTTGTTCAAGAATGAATTGCAAATTGATGAATCAAAGCTTTATGAAATGCAAAGCAAGTGTAATTCAGCAGTTTATATTTTACTGTACTGTTTAGATGGTGAGAAGCATGAACAAGAAAAGTGCACATTTTAGTGACATTTATACCAAGATGGTTCAGAGATATGATTTTCTGGTCTGTACTGTTAAAGGGTTTTACAAATAGATTTAGGTAGAATAAATTGTCACACCACCTGGCATTATCACGGACATCTATTTTAACATTTTACCTTTTTAAAAATAATCTTTGAACAACTTAAACTGTAGTTTTTTTTATTTTAAAAATATTAATTTTGAAAAAATTTTAATTTCTAAAACTTGACAAATTACAATTTTTTTACATTTCTAAAAGATTCACAGATTTTTGCAGACTTCAGGAGTCTGATACAACTGCACCCACACAGCACAACTGCACTGTGTCTTAAATTAACAGATTAAGAATTTGTGAGGTTTGAGTTGATGTAAAATATTGCTTTTATTCATCTGACCTATTTGATTTGCATTGTATCATTCAGGCACTTCGGTGGGGAGAGAGGGTTAAATTACCACTTGTGCCACATGAAGCTTTTTTAGCTTGAACTGACAAACCATTTTTACAGTGTATAAGAGCATTTAAAAAATTACAGGACATTAAATCTCAGCTTAAACATTTCTTGCATGTTGAAATGCCACATAAAAGGATATGATCTCAACAAGCCTCCTCCCTCTACATAATCCTGCCTCTGTCCATCCTGCACACCCTCCATTGCCTCGAAAAGTCCCATGAGCACCCTCCCCCACTCCACAGCTGGGAGGCACTGGATATCAAAACAAAACCACTCAGCGGACAAAATCTGTCTGGAAAAAGCGGCCGGAAAGGAATACTCTGCTTGCTTCAAATGCCTCAACCTTTCACAGAAGAATTGCTGTAGCGATTCTTGAACAAAGGCCAAAACCAAGCATAACGGTAAGTGGGTGTGTGTCAGTGCTGAAAATCTATATTTTTGAAATGTTTTTTTATTTTTTGTAGCTGCACTGCATGAACAGAACTAAAGCCAGCCTGTGGTTAAGACTGCCTGAGGTGACAACAGTTTTAGGCACTGCAGACTTCGTATATATAGACATTTGTATGCTACAAAGCCTTTGCATTTTTTGGCAGCTGTAGGCATGCTGGATTGACCTTGTTTGAAATAACAGCATAACAGGGTGAAGTGGTATTTAAGCAGTCAGTCATCAGGTAGTCTTTACCTATTCTGAGAGTTTAATCCAGAAAAATAACTCAAACTGTGTTTTTTTTTAAACAGTTTGAAATATATTGTAGCTTCCCTCTGAACATTTATGTTTGCTTTGAATCTCAATAAGACGTAATTACAGCTATAACTCTGACCACATAATTATAACTATAATCTGGAATAAGCAATAACTTGGAATAAACCATTTTGTAATACAGGCAATGACCTCACTTATGTCAACCTTATATTATCTCTCTTCAGAAGCAATCATGGGTCTGCAGCGATGCACTGGTCTCCACCCGTTACTATGCATCACCATAATCCTGACCACGTGGCACAGGAACTCGGGATGCCGTACAGGAACATGGTCAGAATGTGAGAAAGCACCCTTTGTGCCTGGCTATAACCTGGCAGGAGAGGGCTTTGACGTGGTCCGGATGCGCCGCAAAGGTGCCTATGTGCTAAATGTTAAATCCCACATGGTTGACAATCACACCTGCACGGTATGCGAGAACCGCTTCCGGGGAGGGCAGGTGCAGAAACTGCCCTCAGCGGTGCTGGACTGGCGTCCTTTTAGTCGCTGCAACAAACAGCTATCGAGCACTCTTCACCATTCTATTGACACCCTCATCAAGAGCTCAACATCACTAATCAACAATAACTGGGCAATGGACCTGAGCCTTGATGATCTGGGCAAGGTGATCTTAGGAGGAAGTCATTCAGATATAGCCAAGTTTGCTCAATCACGGCACATGATGGATAAGGCGACCTTTGCCCTTCATGAGATCAACTGCATATATTACAGGTAAGTGCAGATGACTTGGTTTCAAATTTCCTGTTTGTGTAGTATTTGGCACATGACTCCTTAGCCAGGCCAAAAAAAAAACAAAAAACAGAGGTACAGTAATCAGAAAAGACCACGCTTCATTTATTAATTTTGCATCAGAATAGCCAAGTTAATTTTGAAGCATTTGAAGGAAAAAAATTACAAAAACGTTTAATAGCAAATTACACAGATGCCTCAATAACTAAAGCTAAAATAACTCAAACTTTTAAAAAAATGCAGTATTTAATATGTCCATGGTTTGCCTTCATTACAGCTTCCATTTTCTTGCTTACAGTTTTTCTAAGGACATCTGCACTACAGAGATTTTTTTTCACACCACAAAAGTTCAGTCTTTGAAGTTGGTTGCATTTTCTGCTTTTAACAATCCATGTAATCACAAACACATTCAGTGATGTTGAGATCTGGACTCGGGGGTGGGTAGTCCATTGGGCCTCATTCACCAATTTCCTCCTATGTTTCTTCTTTAATTTGTTCTTGAGAAAGGTCCTAAGAAAAATTTTACATCAGACTCATGATGTGTTCTTAAACCGCAGAACTGTTCGTAACTTTGTGCTCTTGAGTGTGTGTAGATGCTGTTCTTACCTAAGAACAAATACCAAATAAGAAAATATGGATGAATGTCAGAATATTCATGAAAACTAAGTGGGTATTAAGAAAGAATTTCTTCTTAGGAACAGCTGATGAATGAGGCCCATTGTTCCGAGAACAGTTTCTTTGATTTGCCAATTTGCTTCTTTCTGGGAGAGTTTGACTGGAAAATAAATGAAGGGTAATCTTTAATTTTTGCACTGTACTGCACAATAAATTCAAATAGCTAACAATAAATTTTTGAAATAGTCATATCAATCTCTACACTCCATTTGGACATTTTAACTTATGATTGAAAACCAACATTCTTTCTCCAAACATCATTGTACATGAACAGATGTTTTCCTGACAAACAGATGATTCACAAGCTATATTTAGGTACCAATGTCTGAGACAGCTGAACAATTGGGTTTTCCTTTTTCTCCCCAGTTACAGGGTAACGGATCACCCAGAGCTGAGTGCGGAATTCTCCAAGCATGTACTTCGACTACCTAGACATTATGATGAGAAAACAAAATCCCTGTACCGCAGGACTATTGACACATATGGCACGCACTATATCCGTCACGTCCATCTAGGGGGACGTGTGAGACGAGTCACGGCTTTTCGAACCTGCCTTGCAACTTTAAAAGGCTTCTCAGAGTCAGAGATAAAGAAATGCCTGAACTTTGAGTTAAAAATGACTCTAGGGTTTGTTCCTGCAAATGCATCTCTTTCTATTAAATGCTCAGAAATCCTCAAGGATAACATGAACATGGGTTTCTACCAGGGCTTCATGACACACAACATTGAGGTCTTGGGTGGTGAAAAATACTTTCCAGACCTTGTGCTCCATCAAAGTCCATCTGAGGCATACATAAGCTGGATGGACAGCTTGCATGAGAACCCAGATGTCATTTCATATGCTATTTTTCCGCTCCATCACCTGGTAACTGACTCAGAGCTGAGTGCCAGTCTGAGGAGAGCAGTGACTGAATACATTGAAGAGAACATGCTTCCTGTGGAGAAGCAGAACCAAGATTGCACCCCAGCGCCAAACCTGGACCACCACTGCTGTCCTCTCAGAGCAGGGCGTGGCACCTTGAGAGTGGCAGTGCAGCGAGCTGCAGGCCTAAAGGCAGACCTCTTCACTCGTACAGACGGGTACGTGAAAGTATGGTACAATAACATGTATGAAGAGACTGAAGTCGTGATGGATGACAACAACCCAGAATGGAACATTAGTTATAATTTTGGTTCAATAGAGTTCGGCCATGAGTTAATATTTGAAGTGTGGGACAGTGATGTCTTTTACAATGATCTGGTTGGAAGATGTGTGGTCCATCCGGAACGAGGGATTCACTCACACAGCTGTAAACTAAAGAAAGGAGTTTTTTACTTCACCTACAGCGCCATGTGTGATGCTCACCTGACTGGCCATAAGTGTGGAAGATACTCTCCAAAACCATAAGTGCTTCCATCAGGCATTTTCATTAGTTTACAGTGCTCTTGCTTCAAAATGCAAAATATTTTTAGAAATAATGGAGATATCTTGAATACATTTCTGTAAATCTGTCACTTATATGCTCACAATCTCCTGAGGGAGCTGATAATACTTTTACTTGTAATATGCATTGTTATACAATTTTTTTCCTCCAACTGTTTTCTACTAATCAACACAGCTTTTTAACAGCAAATGACTATGAACACAGAAAGGCAATACATTAGTTTCAGTCTGTTTATTATCTACATCTTTTTCCTTTAAGGCATCAAGGCTACATGATAACTGCTTGTTTTGAGCAATATTTCTGAATTAATTAATTCAGGGTCCATATTTATTGCATATATTGTATATACACAGTATTATAATGTTGCTTACGCAACATAATACTGCATAAATTTAGACTTACCCCTTAGTCAAGGAAGCAACTCATAATTAAGGCTATAAAACGTCTTTATTTGACAGGGACAGGTTTATATAAATACAACAAGAACATATCTACAGTTCATCAAAAAGACAAATGAGGTGGCACAAATCCCCATGTCCACTATGTGAATCAGGGATTTGGATTCAGCCTGGCAGTCTTGTACTTTCAGCCTGAGCTGAATTTAAGATATGAAACATGAGGTAAACATTACAGTACCCACACAAAATCAGTCCATGGAGTAAAACGTTTTTCTGTGAAGTCTAGAGCGTCACAGCTGCTGGTTACTCCCCATTTCAGCTTTTTTTTTTTTGTCTAGACGTTGTGCGTAGTTCAACACTGATTCAAAGTAAAATATCAACATTCCCAACAGTAAGCAGTTACCGGGTTGGTCAGTCTGCCTATTAGCTGTCTTGCTCATATTTGTACTAACCACTCTTCAGATCAGTAGAATGAGAACGTTGTACTGAGACAGGACAGTCAACACACTGGAATCCTTAGGTTTAATGTGTCAAAGACCCAGCGATACCTTTAGCAGCTCTGCCATATCCTCAGACATGGTGCCCTCATCACCTGTAAGGAAAGAAAAAGATTTAGAATTGCTACACACTGAAGCAGTGAACGAACGTGAGCTATTCAGTACAGCAAATGTAAAAAAAAAAATGTGTATTTGTTGACCTATCGCTTATCCTCACCTTCATCAGTAGTCATGTCTTGTTCAAGTTTGAGCTTTTCCTGTCCTACACGAAGCATGCAGGCCTCTATGGAGTCTTTGCTAACCAGTTTGATAACCTGTACAGTCCTGCAAGCACACATCATATTAACAACTCTTCATCTGCTTAGGCATTATTCTGAAAACTAGGCTTAACAGTTAAAGGCTAACCAGACAGAAATGTCAAAAAACAGCATTTACAGTTTGTCGAATAAGAGCCAAAAAAAGAGGTCTGTCTAACAGCCATGTCCCTTGCCACTATTTACCAGGCTTGGCTTTTGTTACCAATTATGAAAAATCCTGTTTTGCGAAATACAATCCTCATGACTCAACAGGTAACTTGCCCATTTCTGTGTGGGTTCATGTAGCAGTGTCAAACACAAAGCTGAAGTCAGAGATGTTTTTCCTTCTTTACTTGATTGTAACATAATTGAGACATGGTAAAAACCAAATGAAAAATTAATGTATAAATGTAAACTGAAAAAATAATTAAAATGTGTTGATTGTTTAAGTCTTCAAAAGACTGGATATGTGGAGAAGGGAGGGGCAACTGGCATGACAAAAATGGCAAACCAGCAAGAGGACTGTTTGGTGCTAATTAGGTTTGGGCACAGGGCAATGTAATTGGATAGTGTCGATGTCCAAGTAACCCAATGGCGATGTGTAAAAGGCGAAACAGCTTGAAAAATATGTTGGGAAACTGAGGTTCGTGTCTAAGAAGCTTTACTGCACAAATTCTCCTTAATTTACTTTACATGAATAGAAAATTAATGCGGACTGAAATAACAAAGTTAGCATAGAGCAGCTAGGTTAATTCTAACCTGAAGAGAAAATTTCTCTGACCCTCGTCTATGGTGGGTGTGCAGTATGTTCTGTACAGATTAAGTGTCCTGGTGGTTAGATGAACTATGAAAACGCCACTGTAATGACAGGAAATGACTAATTTTTAATGTGGAAAGCGCACAGACGTGGCTTTGAAAATCACTTGCAGTCTGATGTTTCTCTAGCAGAGAGCACTGTAAAATGCATCTCTATGTACATACATTTAGATCTGTCTTGACGAAGGTAAAATTTTATAGGGGGGGGGGAAGCTTTTTTTTCTCTCATATGAGAAGTGCTTCCGAAATGGATCCTCCTACTATTCAACCTTTTCAAATCATGAGTCATTGCCTTCATTTAGGCACCAAGGACAGAGTTAACCAAATAATAAAGCTGTTCCTCTTCTGCAGTTACAGGGAAACTGACCACAATGACCTTAATTCTAAATTCCTTACTTACAGAAAGACAACAATTTAAAAAAAATAAAAAAATAAAATATAATAATAATAATAATAATAATAATAAAAAAAATCACTGCTTGAAAACATACATATAAAAGCATTGCTACATACAACAAATTTATTTCAGACTTTGTCTCTTAATTCCACTGCTCGGGATCCACATTTAAGTTGTTTTCCATGACATTTAAACTTAAGACAGAATTAATAACTGATTGAAACTGAGCGAAGACTTTGCAACATGTCTTGCAACCCTGAGATTTTTTTGCTTGACAGAGAGAGATGTCTTAGTATAGGGCTAGAAAGAAACCTCTTTGCCTGGGCCTTTACCTGTTTCACACTGCTACTATACTGACCTGGTCTGCCCCATTCGATGACAACGGTCTTCTGCTTGCTTGTCATTGAAAGGATTGCAATCAATATCATGAAGGATCACTGTGTTAGCAGAGGCAAGGTTTATTCCTTGGCCACCAGCACGAGTCGAAAGAAGAAAGACAAATATCTCAGGGTCTGTGTTGTATTTGTCTATAAGGCCAATTCTAGGAGAGAGAGAACAAATAAGATGTCAATCATCAACACCTCAAGAGACCGCTGTGAAGAGCACTATGAATGAGCCCAGCATACTGATGAGGTAAGCAATATACATGCTAACCTTTCTGCCATAGGTGTTGAGCCATCCAATCGAACATACTCATGGCCAAGGTGTTTCAGCAGAATCTCCACAATATCCAGCATCATAGTAAACTGGCTGAAGAGCACCACCCTGTCACCCTGAACATTATGCAAGTTAGGCAGTATACTGTTCAAGAGTGAGACCAAATAACATTCACTAAACTGGCTAAGGCCAAATCTTAAAGCATCTTATTACCTTTTCTTTGAGCTTGGCCAATAGTTTGGTGAGCAAAGCGAACTTTCCAGAGTCTAGGAGGAGCTTCTTTTCCAGTTGGAACCTACTGATGGAGGTGTATTCTTTACACAGGTTATGCAGCTCAAAATCTGACATGACCTCCATGTCTTCCTGGATCAATGCGGGATCTGCATCAAAATGTGTTGGTTCCTGATGAAAAACAAGATTACTTAGTATCAAAACAGCAACTTGACGAAATGTTGAGATTGAGTCTGTGCACTACACACTTGGCAAGCATAAAGGTTATGCAAAACAGCAGCCAAACCTCCTCATTTGACTAATAAGAGTTTAATTTTAGCTTTATTAGTACCCCAGGTGAGAAGAACAGACAAAAATAGCTTAGTATTATTTTGTCATTTAACCAATTCTTTACCCCCAAAGTAACATACATTACTGCACATTGTCTCTAACTACACAAATATCCTAAATAATCCACAGCAATAGCCCTGTCCTGACCTTCAGCATGGCTCGACTCATGGCAGCAAGTTTCTCAGTGGTGTAGTACTGCCGATGCAGGAGTGGGTGGTTGGCCATTTTCCTCAGCTGCATCATAACGTTACTGAGCTCACGTTCTTAAGGTGCACAAACGACAAGGGAGAAAAATGAACAGACAGACATGCAAAAGGGTGGCAGGGCCTGGTCTGGTCTATTTTAACTCAGACAGGTTAGAAGAGTGATGTCAAAAATATGACTCCCGACCTTGCCAGGACACTGCATACTAAAAAGGGGTGTCTACAAACCAAAAACGTGTGTCACAAATATCTAAACACTTCTGCATGCACAATTTGAATACATACTCTCCCCACTGACAGTCTTCTTGAGCCTACTGAAGAGTTTATCATAGAGCTGCTGCTGAGCATCACTCATGGGACACATTTCTATCTTCTCCACTTTGGGTGGTAGTTGCTTCAGCACCTGTATGGACATTAGGAAGACTGTCTCTCAAACATAATATATTTCATACAGAACACTTTCAAAGATGAAAGTCACTTTGTAAATGTGAACATCTACTCATTAGATTTATCATGGGATCTAACATGAAAGCTTGTACAGTTTCCCCTCATTCTTTCTAATATAGATTCCTCTGAGATTTTGGCAATCAATACCTCACTCTTGACTCGTCTCAGTATGAAGGGCTTCATAATGAGCTTGGCTTGAGCAATTCTCTCCTTATGGAAAGTACTCTCCTCTTCTGATGATTTCTATGGAGAAGGGCATCACGAAACATAGTTAGAAAAACATTAACATGACTGATGTATTATTTATTTGGTGAAAATTTTACAAAAAAAAAAAAAGGTGTTTTCTACACAATAAAACATGTGGGCATGTTTCTAGAATGTAAAATAAATCAATGCTGCAAGTTAGCATTATAATTGAGCTTTTTCCTGGCAAAATAAACCCTCACACTCCTTAGACTTGTTAAAAACACATTCATAATGCCTATTAAATTCATGCTCTAAAGGAAATCAAAAAAGATTATGAACGTCTTCAAAAGAAATCTGAATCAGTCACAACATAGCTAAAATCATAGAAGTGTGACTGCAGACATTTCTAGGCTAGCTAAAGAGGCAATTTGCATTTATATTATTAAAAATAAGAATGTAATACAAAGTATATCAAAGTACAAATATATCTATAGCGACATTACAGTGCAGTTGTTAAAAATTCAATAAATTAGTCCTATATTCATTTTTCATTAATCCTTATCCAAAGACATCAAACAATTCACGTTAAATAGTGACTTAATAGGGCAGAGGTTCAGCAGAGTAAGCATCCCTGAAAAAGGTGAGCATGTCAAACACCTGGTACAGTCCAAAAACAGCAGAAAACAAACAGCAGTTTACTACTAATATGTTCTTGTGTTCTATAAGCTATTAGCTATACCAATTTTTAACTTTCCCTTTTTCATCTCCAAAATAAATGTCTTTCACATACTTAATTCAGTATTGAAATTCTCAAATTCTCTTACCATTTACAGTAATACGGGAAGTTAATTATACTTTCCATTTCATGTAACCCATGTCATGGAAGCAAAGTTTCTTCCTCTCACAAACCACAATAATGGCTCTCCAAAGGGCCAATCTCTTAAAATCACCTTAAAACATGTTCAGGTATGAGAGCATAGCCAATATTTGAGTGTCATAAGCACCACAAAAATAAACAACATTTCATATAATTTATAGATCAAATGGAACTCTACCTGCCCCACACAAAAAGTTTAAACGATAATGAGGCATTTTTAACCCTAATTCTCATTACTGATCATTGATTAAACAAAATGACTTTGTATTACTTTTAACTGTTGAATCTCTTTACTTTAAAGAGTTCTGGCAAAATGTTGTGTCACAAGTTAAAACCTTCAACGACTGGCAATGTATAATATTAATGAAATAAAATTAACACTATATTTTGCAAAACATATTGTAATGATTAGGTTTAAAATACTTAGTCTGACAAAAGTATACAGACTGTAAAAACAAGTTGTGCAAAAAAAAAAAAATTAGGTAATGACAATTCGGTCACTTAAATTGGAAAATGCTATTAAACAAACTATTTAAGATCATTTTCATTGTTCAGGTTTATTTCTGATTGTTCAACCATGCGTAACTAAGTATTTTAGAAATTATAAATCTATAAAAATTTACTAATTTAGTTTTAGTAAATTTGGGTCCAAGTATTTGTCATGTTTCTGAGAATAACCACACATGCTTGAGAACACAGCTGCTTCACTAAACCTGTGAAATTTCCCCGTTTCTAATTGCTCGTCTCCTTACCGTGGAGAACATCTTGGAGATTTGGGAGGTGCTGCTGGAGAACATGGAAGGCATGATGAAGTTGAGCAGAGATATTAGTTCTAGCAAGTTGTTCTGTAGAGGAGTTCCAGTCAGAAGCAATCGGTGTTCAGCCTACAGACAAATAAACGATTTCTCACTGAAATTGAAGAATCTGAGCAGATAAAAACAAACATTCTTGACTGAACACATTACATCACTATTGTCTAGCATTTAATAAGAGTGCACCAACATTAATGGCCATGAGATGGCGGTAGCGCAGAGAGTTCATGTTCTTCAGCATGTGGCCCTCATCAAACACAGCATATTTCAGTTTCAACTTGCGGAAGAGACTGCGGTCATTTTCATTCCCTATGGTGAGGTTATACCTGCAACGGAACATAAAAGCAAAATCTTACAAAAGTAAAAGAAATATAAACATTAGTACCTCCTCAACATTGTAATGTGGCATGTAACATCACTGAGAAGCACAAAAGTATTTGAAGCCTCAATCTTGGATGCAGCAAATGATATTTAAAACAAACAAACAAACAAACAAAACCCAAAAAACCCTTACGTAGACACTATGACATTGAATTCCACTTGATTGCTGAGAATGTCATGCCGGAGGTATTTACGGTCCTCCACAGAGCCTGCAAGAATACATAAGTTACAAGCTATGAAGTTTATCACAGTTCATCTTTTGGGCAAAAAAAAACAAAAAAAACAAAACACTACATTTATGAACACTATTGTGAAACTTTTTCACAAAGCCTTTCATAGTGCAGAATGCCCAAGTTTACAACTGCCTGAAAACTAAAATCACACCAAAGCAACACCAGAATATAGAATGACCGCGATTTACTCACCATAGTAAACAATTACCGTCAGACTTGGGCACCACAGCCTTAGCTCTCTTACCCAGTTATCTGTAGGGGCGAGATAAGTTCAATTCAAAACGGTATGCAAAAAAGGGAAAAAATTTAACGTGATGCAATTCCTTTATGGGTTTCCCAGAACTTCTTGCCTTACCTACTGTGGAAGAAGGTACGGTAATAAGATGAGGGCCCTTAATCCCCTTTTGATAGAGATAAGCTAGGAAAGAAATTGCCTGAATTGTCTTTCCCAATCCCTGACGGCAAAATAGAAAATGCATGAGTGAAAAGAATTTTCAAAATATTCTGGTAAAATGAGTAATCAGTTCTCCAGGCATATGGCTGCTCCCTGGTTTGGCGAGGGTCTGGCACATACGTGTGTGTATAATATAAATCCAGACCCTCGCCAAACCAGGGAGCAGCCATATGCCTGGAGAACTGATTACTCATTACACTGATTACTTGCCCTTCTGTCTTTGAATTTGAGCACAGATAAGAGAAAACATGAATATGCCAAACCCAACATGTAAACATTGCATGTACTCACTAGAATGCATAAATGATATGCAAAGTAAGAAGTCAGTACTCACAAAGGAGAAAGAACGACACTCACCATTTCATCAGCCAGGATTCCACTGAGCTTGTGCTGGTGAAGAAGAATAAGCCATTTCAAGCCTATCAATTGGTACGGCTGTAATTTGAATCTGAAAGAACACAAAAGATAATTACAGATAATCCCAAACTCAAAACATATCTGGAAACAAACTGTTGCCTTTCATGTAATTATGCTGCATGTGTAGGTAATACAAATAAGAAATTTGAAACCTAATCTCAGGAAATAATTTCATAATGTCTGTAAGAAATTTCTTCCTTACTTGCTGTTGAGGATGGCTGGTTGCTTCATAGAGCCCATGCCATTCTTGATGACCTGGGTGACATCTTTGGTCATCTTCCTGGAAATGCTTTCACACCTGCTCATGAGCTGCTTCAGCACCTGCCTTTCTTTCAGCACCATTTTACAGCCGTGCACCAGCTCCATAGACAAGCTGTTATCCTTACAGAACTGCTCATTCTGGGGAAGTGCATAAAGGCAGGCAAACACAAACGCCAAGGCAAGTCATTTCATTGTCAATGAATGTCAATCTTGTTGTAGTGTTTCATATCAGAAGTAAACTGTTAACCTCCAGCTTTTCAAACTCATTAGTGTAAGTGATGACACTGCTATGAAACTCCAAGACCTAAAATCTGCCAGAAATGTAGAAGCACAGACCTCCCTTTAGAGGAAAAAAGCAACAACTGATTAAAGGCAAGGAACTGTTTGACTAAAGTAAACAAGTTATCTTGTCATGTCACTACATATATATAATAGAATAAAAAGGCAACGTCTTTCTATTTATGCTGAGTTCACATGTAGGGCAAAAGACAGTGATCTAGACACACCGTAGACACTTTATACAGTGTCTAGATTTACAGAAAGATAAAACTAATGGTACACTAACCCACCTGCAAAAACCTTTTAAGAAGGTCTGCTTCCTTAGTTTCGCATCAATTTACAAGACTAGTGGCATAAACTCAAAACAAAATTTCAATTTTTCAAGTATTTACAAGTGGTGAGACTGAAGAAAACAGAAAAAAACTCAGAACGGATTAAGTTACACAATTCTGTATGAAAAATAAACACAAGGTGAGAGTACATGGAGTCCTTACCACATCTTCCCATGTGTTAAATGGCCTCAGTAAGATTATCTTCTGGGCTTTCTTCAATGAACAACCAGATATCAAAGTCAGTTCATCTAAAGAAGCCTCCTGGAGAAACTGTACTATCTGGTGCTTGATACGATCATCAATGCTATCGTCTTCGCTGTCCGAATCAAAGTCATCAGAAACACTCCCAGCTTCGCTCTCAAGCTCTTCTTCATCATCTGAATCGCTGCTTTGCTCTTGCTCTACCTTATCTGCTTTTTCTCTCTTAAAATTATGACTGACTGTTTTTGTTTCTGTGGATGTTGACCTAGTAGAGGCATTTTGTGTTTTTTGAGTGGATTTGCTTGATACAGCCGACAGCCATCTTGAGAGACCAGAATGTGGCTTTTGCTTCCTCTCTCCGTTGCTCTCTTGGCTGCTCCTTGCAGGCTTCAAATTATCTGACACTTTGGATTTGCTGTCTTGAGCTCTTTTAGGACTGGAGTCTTCTGAAGTTGAATAGAAAAACAATAAATTTCCACATTCACAATTTACATTAAACTACATTAAAAAGACAAATTCCACCAACTTTTCAAAATTTCTGCATAATTCAACTGCTATGATGTAAAACGTCATTTTACATTGGTTTGATGTGAAATGCTACACTGCAGAGAAGCTAACTGGCACCATCATGTTTATGACACAAATATAGAAAAAATATCTGTTATCCAAAACAATCAGTGAACCTTTAGTGAATCAGTGAAAGGGGTGGGTGTCTCTAGGCACCTCACGATTCGATTAAGATTCAGAGGGCTGCGATGCGATTATAAAACGATTATCAATGCATCTTGATGCATCTTTTTTCTATACAGGATTTCTATGTTCTCACTGTATTTGTAATGATTCATAATGAATTTACTTCAATATCTTATTAATTAAACAAATGGAAGTGATGTGGCAAGTGAATTAGAATGCTCTCATTCAGTGCTCTTGTTTGGAGCACATAAGATGCAGGCTGCCACTCATCTGTGATAAAATGCAGTTACGGTTCCAATGGCAGTTAAGATCCAATGGCAATAGATGGCCCACGCAGCACGTTACAGCCGTCCTACCAGTTTTCTTTAGTGATTTTTTTTTTTTTGGGGTAACTTCGGTTTTGGTCTTGTTGTAGAGAGTGGGGGGATCGCTGCGTCAGTAAAATATGTTTGAGACTGGATGTGTGCAACAGTGAGAAAGCCCTGGTTCTCAGCGACTGAGGACTGCAGGTCATACAGCAACGCAGTCTCGCCTTGCTAGTAGCTAATGAAAAGGCAAAGAGAGAGATTTAATATGAACATTCGGAGATGAATGGACTTACTCGCGCTTATAAGCAACGCAGTTGGTTTCCTGGAACGTTAAACCTGCAATGAGAGACTGTCAAACACTAAAAAGTTGAAGATTAAGTCAGCTTCTCTTTTGAATTTTCCCGGTCCACCTTAAATGGTGCCGCATTTACGTTCTAGCGCCTCAGGCAGAATTTAAGGTGGAATGGGAAAATTCGAACAAGAAGCACGCGAAATGAGCTGACTTCAGCCTCGTGAAACAGTCGAACGTTGAGAGACATTTTACGGAAAAGTTTTTTGGCGGAGATTTGGAGGAAAGCGGCTATAGCTAAAGCTTAAAGCAGAGCAAAGTAATTCTGCGTTTTCTTTACGATTTTTCAGCCTGTGCTAGGACATCAGCATATACTGAGACTTAAAAATGTTGTGGCTTTTGTTGAAAGGAGAAAATGGCTCTTCATAACATTTGGGTTGTCGACTCCTGACCTAACCTAGCTTTTAATGCAGAGGGTACCGGTTGGATTTCTCGCTCATCCAGTTGTGTTTTTGTTATGTGCATGTCACATAACAAAAAAAGTGTCCGGGCGCCGCACTTCCACGTTCCGCCTATTGCGTTCCGCCAACATTACGTTATAAATTAAAATTTAGAAAATCGATTTTTGACATTTGTGAATCAATTCAGAATCATCCATGTCCGCATCGCGATGCATCTAAGAATCGATTTTCCCCCCACCCCTAATCAGTGAACTGAGTTTTTATATGTAATGTTAATGGTAAAACAGTGGATAATTTGAAAAATTAGTGGACTTCCCAGTTACTGTGGATAACCGACCTGGTCCAGAAATATTTCAATGATAAAGTACATTTCACCTACCTGATTCAGATGAAAACATCAGTAGAGATCCCAAGGCATTCTCAAGATCCCAGTCATGTTCTCTCAGGACATCCCTCAGCACCTGTAAAGCATACAGAGCACATGGAATAAGTACATAAAGAACAAGAATTGGTGCCTCTCAGAAGCACTATAAGTTTCAGCCCACCTCATTTTCGAACTCAGGTAGTTTCTTTTTCAGTTTGCGCACCAGAGCTTCCTGTTGCTCTCTGCTCAGCTCCTGACTCTCTTCCTCAGACTCAGGATCAGAGTCAGATTCCTACATTAAGATAACTAAGTCAATATATATAGCAGTAGTATATTGTTATTATTTTGAAATTAAGTCCCAACAGCTGGCTGAGCCAACTTTACAAAAACCCAAGAATTAAGAAACATTTTACCACAGTTTTTCTCCGCTTCTTTGGCTGCATCTCACATTGATTATCACTGTCTTCTGTTGTCCCTTTCACTTTGGATGAATCTGTATTCACAGACCACACAAATTAACCTCAGAAATTTAGTAATAAACATTCCTAACTTCGCTATTTTAATATCATACATTTTCCAGTCCGAACACTGCAACGCAGTACAGCACACACAGGGTATGACCAATACCTAGTTAGTACATTTCATGTCATATTTTATGTCAGTGTACGGAGCAAGTTGAAAATACAAACAGAAATTATCACCAAGATCTGTTAATGGATTAGCAAAATACTCTGACCAGATGGATCACAATTTGTTAAATGTCTGATGTATGCTTTTACCTTTCTCTCCATAAACCAACAAACAACACGCTACAGCTCCCTCCAGTGTGCTTGTGCTCTCAATCACCTGTTGGATTTCAAACAGCAGTTTTACAAAAGCTTAACAGCAAAACCAGGCCACTTCAAACTGTGTAACCTGAACACTGCACTTACAAGTTTTGCTGCATTTCAACACATCTACCTACATAAGATTCCTTCTGTTTTTTCTTATATTCAAATATATCTCATGTTGGAAAAATCTTGACTCATTTACATAATCTATTTTTTATTTATTTTTCTTCAGGGAAGGAAAAATAAATAAATAAAAGCATCAAAACTGATCAGCAGAGAGTCTAGAATTGCTTTAATTTAGATGTTATAAGTGCAAATGAAATAAAGCAGCAGCTCTCAAACTTTTTTAGTCTAAGGCCCCCAGTTTGTCATAAAGCACTACAGCAGCTACATCCAACTGAACTATATCATTTCTCTCTTGCCCTAAACATCTAGGTTTGGTTGACCATTATTAAGAAAAACAAAATTACCTCCAGTATTTCACTTCGGCTCTTCTGGGGGAACATTTCTAGGAGTTTGGCCACTTTCTCCTCCAAATTCAAATCTATGTGCTCTTCACACTCTCTTGCCTTCTTTGCTGATTGTTGTATAGCAGGCTCCCTGCAAAAGCAATCTTTATTTGGTAACAATATTTTGAGAGTGAAAATATTGCACTTTTCCCATGTGACCAGCGAAGCAGTGGTCAAAAGCTGCCTAAATATATGTGTTGGTTACAGAATTTCATGGGTAGCATATCCATGTTATTTCAGTGTACAGCTTACTTGACTTTTTTAACCACTTCATCATCAGAAGACACATCTTCCAGCGCATGCCTAGGGACTTTTCCTGGTGCACGTCTGCCATCTGGTTTCACCTGGTGTGCTGCTGACACAGAATCAATGGTTTTCAGTCATACAAGTCATTCAATTTTAACAGCACTATTAAGTAGAGGTGGAAGATGAAGAAATCTCTCATCACAATACATTAAGACATTTTCATGACAGATAATAAGCATCATGATATTTAGTTTCCTAAGACAGGACAGAAAAAAGGATCCAGCAGTGCTACATTTTAAGGGGAACCTGAATACTATGACTTGCATGCCTTAAAACAGTGTACATGTCCTATACTATTAAAATATGATCTAAACCAAATGGGAATGTTTTGTGTATTATTACTGATGTCACAGTTGCACTGGAATCAGTCCTATGAAAAATAAGACCATTAATAAAAGTTTTTTAAATAATGTCTCACTCTAGCTAAGGTTTAAAAGGCTGAATGACATGTTAGAGTTAAATGAAACATTCAGCTCACTGTTCCTCTCTCTGTGGACAAGAGAGAGAGCAACCATTTGATGCAAAAAAAATGGCAGCCTACTATTAAAAGGTAAAAATAAATAATAAATAATTTTGCTTAGTTTATACAATATATTCGAATGGTATTGGACATGAGCACCATATTGGGGCTTATATGTCGTAAGTCAAGGTTCTCTTTATAAACATTATCAAAACCTAAGAGTACAAATAATTTTCATTGAACGTTTAACATTTGTTAAACACCGCGTTTACTGCGATTCATTAAATCCAATTAAAACAGGACTAACTGTCCTCTCCTTGTAACGAATAATGCAGTTGGACAGTCTTTAAGTACTGACGATAATAACCACGAAGCGCTCAGCAGAGCACACTGTGGAAGGAGGGACGTGACGTCATTTATCACCTTAATGATAAAATATCATATCGCCCGTCCAGGCGACTGAATCAGCTCCAGTGCCGGACATGGACTGTTCCTACTCTCATTTAAACCGGTAAAAGCCCTCGGCGAATCTTTTTAAAACTATAAGTTAACTTGCTAACGTGACCGTCTTGACTCACAGCTGCTACGCTGACAAAAGCTGATGCTTCCCCACAGCCGCGCTTTCTGCTTCATACACACTTCACACTACTTAACACCATTTAACACCATTATCCTCACAACGCAGGAAGCGAAAAATTAAGACATTCGTCAAATATGAGGAGCAGAGATCACAGAGGAATAAGTTAGCTGGCCTAAGGAGCTCCGCAACCACACCGAAAGGACTCAGCCTCAGGCCTAGACGGCTAAAAACGACATTTTGCATCGGGTGGTTAACCGGCAAAGCAGCTAACAGCTAAATGGAGGCCTTTGTCTTTCCCAACAAACTAGCTAACCTAACGTTACTGCGTTGAAGCTAACGGTCACTCTCTTAACGTTACTACATGCTAGCAGTAAAACCTTCTGTCTGGCTGATGAAGAAACCTTCGCTGTGAATTCTTACCCAGGTAATTCTCTTTATCCGAACTGGACTTACTCAACACTCTGCGCTGCTCTTGTCTGGGAAACTGGACCGGCGAGGAGACACTTTCACCGGCCTTTTCTTTCTGGAAACGGAATCTATCGAGATTGAACAGACTCATTGCTCTGTATTAAAGGACCTTTCAGCAACCGGCTAACGCTGCTCTACACGACAGAGAGGCTTCAACAACGGCTTAGCTAACGTTAGCTATTGTGTCTCCTGTGTTCGTACGGCTGAAATAGTCTACTACTTTTCTGACAGAATGTAACGCTTATCACTCCATCTTCAGCAATATAATACAAATACACTAGCGAGCGATAATCTGCACTTTCCCAAGCCGCTAAAATCTCATAACCGATATAGCCTCCTAAAGAAAGGATGCCGGGTGACACCAGTGAAGCTCATTCCCGCCACAAGTGAGGCTGCGTCATCTTCCCCTCATGTCCAAGAACCAATAGGAACACAGCACTCAGGAAGAAGCTGATTCCAGATCAGCACGACTTGCCAACGTCTACCTGGGTTGCCAGACAGGGCATTATTAAAGCTGAATTCCACCGATTTTTCAAGATTTCTGCATAATCCAGTGTTTAAAATGTGAACAAAATCTTTCAGAGTGGTTTGATGCGAAATGCTGCGCTGTAGAGAAACTTACCGACTCGGATTTTGTTTTACAGTAGTGGTGATAGCAACCAGGGGTCGCAATGTCTACAACACACATATAGCCATTTTTTAACAAAATGACCTACGCTTCTTCTAAATGTGTTGTGTTATGCTGACCGTGGTAAAAATGTGGTAGTTCTGAAAAAGGTTTTCTTTAGGGTTTTATAAGTTTTTTTTTTACAACACTTCATGTCCCTCTCTGCCAGGAATGTATGTTAAACATATGTTTCAGGCGAAAAATTATAGGACTGTAAAACCATGTCTGAGGAAAACATGCAACATACTCATAACTACTTCATGTAAAAGCTCTCTTTGAGGCAGCTTTTAGAGGCGTTAAATGCTTCGGACGTCTGGTTCCTATCACCACCACTGTGAACAATTCTGACTGTGACTTTCTGTAGAATGAACAATTTCACACCAAACCACTCTGAATGACTTTTACATCTCAATGGTTGAATTATACAGAAAAAAATCTATGTAATTTCCCTTTTAACACATTTCATATGATGTATAACAACAAACAAAAACAGATGATGTATCAAATTCCCATTGATCTGTTTAAGTGTGTATAATGGTGGTATTCCCAAATATACTATTATTTTACATGACATACATACGACTATGAATAAAAGAAAAGAATGTCAAAAAGAAAACAGCTTTCAAAGGGCCCTTACCTCCGTTCTAGAGATGAGCCAGGAAAGAAACTATCCTGAATTGTCTTTCCCAAGCCCTAAAGGAAAAAGCCAAACACTGGCATAAGCTGGTATCAGTTTACACTTATAAACACTTCATCAAACACACCCTTTTTCTCCATTATTAAAATTAAGACTATTCAACAAATAGGGAGTAACCTGAATTCTTAAAAAAGTAGCAGTCCGCAGGACAAACCATTCACTCGATGTCTCCTGTTGACTAGTTAAGATAAAGGGGAATTTCATTGATTTTTCAAAATTTATGTATAATCAAATGGTTAAGAATTATAGTACAGATATGTTCCAAAATGAAACATCCCTGATAAATAGGACTTCTGTCGTCTTTGAATTCGAGCAGAGATGACACATAAAGCATGATTATAACCCAACAAGTAAAGCCTCTCCAGCTTGCATAGAAATTCTAAAACCACATTGTCCACTAGGTGACATACTTTCACAAGAAAGTCATAGCTGTGTCACCTGGCCTTGCTCTGTCTGTCCAAAGGAGGGCACCACACAGCATGCTTCAGAGGTTGGAGGAGCAGCAAGCTCTTGCATAAGAGAGATGGCTAGCTATCCACGAGTGCCTCAGTGTTTTATAAAGGCCACAGATTGTTTCATGAACTAGCAGATTCTGTTGCATTTAGGTTTGAACATATGAAATGTCAGGGCAAATATTAGTGATTATAGTTGAAAGATTTTACAGTTCAGTTGCATGTGAAAAAATAATAATGAGCCAAGATATAATAATGGATACATGTGGCATATTAGTTATTGCTACTCCTGATTATGATTATAAGTAGCTTAGCTGTATTATAGTAAGGGTTTGTAGCATCAGCTTTATTGGTGTTCATGTGTAACAGGATTTCAAATCAATTTCGAAATCATTCAAAATCAGCCATTATTATTAAAATGGTTGATGATTGTCCTCGAATGCTGCACTTTTGACAGAACTCAGACTAGTCATCAGAGATTTTGGCAATTTTCCAGGTGTGCACTTCAGTTATTAATGCCTGTTATAAGATAAATAACCTCTCAGCCAATCACAACTGTGTTTGTGTTAGTCTGAGTTAGGCTTAGAGATGGGAAAAGGTTTTACTGAGGAAAATTTAATTTAAGCATACGCTATCCTGATCATCTGTCTTTATTTCATTCACAAAGCTAAAAAAGTTTTGTATTAAACTATATGGAAGAGCACACTCACAGCTAAACATCAAACTACTAACAGGCTCTAAGCTAAGCTAAACTTTATTTAAATTACTGCATTTTCTAACAGTCATTTTAATATTATGATATCATTTATTACAATGATAAGACCTGTTAGCTAGCTACATTAAAAGCTAATTGCACTGATTTTTTAAACTTTCTGTATAATCAAAAGGTTAAAATGTAAATAAAGTAATTCCGAGTGGTTTGATGTGAAATGCTCTGTTGTAGAGAAATTTACCAAGTCAAAATTGTTAACAATAATAGTGATAGGAGCCAGACACCTGAAGAATTTCATGCCTCTAAAACCTCCCTCACATGAAATTGTCAAGAAAATGCTGCTTGAATGGCTGAGACATTGATGTACAATAGTTCTGACAAAAGGTTTTGACCTAGTAGAGTGATATACGCAAGGCAGCACAAAGCAAATTAGTCCCCCCACCCCAAAAAACCTTTATTTTTTCAGATTTGTCATTATTTCACCATCATCAACCTATTATATAAAAAGTCAGAAGACACATGTAGGTGGGTAAGTTTCTCTACAATTAACTATTTTACATCAAACCACTCAGGATGACATTGTTTACATTGTTTACAACAACAACTGAATTATGCAGAAATTTTGGAAAATGAGTGGAGCTCCCCTTCAATTCACAAAGCTGTTGGCAGCTTTATAAATTAGCCAGGCTAAACAGGACAGTACGTTGCTTACAAGTTAAATAATGCTTGCTAGTGAGATTGAGTGAGCGAACAATCTGTTTTGTGTGGTGATGGATGCATTCTGAAAATTATAAGAGCATTCAAAGCATATGTATTTTAGTCTCATTGTAAGCTTCTGTGCAACAGTAAACAGGTATCAGATTGTTTAGTACCTCTGACATGTCCAGTGCGGTTCCTTTATAACAACATAAAAACACCCACCAGTGGGAGCAGAGAGGTCCAGTGTGGCAGACTGCAGCAAGAAAAATTGCAAGTGGACATATACCGTAACAGGTAGTCCAAGCTGAAAATTGGAGGGGCATAGCAACAGTAACTAAGAAAAGTGGGACTTTTCAGGTCAGAATTAAAAAAATGGTCAACTGCCCCTGGAGGGTTTCCCAGAGAATTTCTCCCAGAGAACTATATGTCTCAGTTTGTCAGATGCTAGAGGGCGCTCCTGAGCAAGACCAAAATGAATAGGCTGCTATGGAGATTTTGTGCAAAATTGTAGTTTGAAAATGCAGAATCATTTTTTTATACAAATAAATACACATGTTTTCTCAACACAGTATAGCATAAAATATTGAAATACTTTTGATATATTTTTCAAAGCTTTTGAACTTTAGTTCTAAGTCTTTCTAGTAGTGTATGTCCATGACATCAGTGAATGCAAACTGCTTTACTCCGCCAATGAGCTGATGAGCTTGCCAAACAATGAGCACTCAGTAGCAGGAATGCTTAGCATCCGATACTGCCCAAAACCTTTTTGCTGTAGAAAAACAGAAAAATACTGGTAAGTTTTCTTTGATTTTTTAATGGAATATATTCCTTTGCTTACAAAATTAAATTACTTTCTTGCATTAATGGCTAAACACCTGTTTAACATTTTGTTTTTAGCTGTTTAGTTCCATTCATCCCCATTCTTTGAGGACTTGCTCGCAAGAGCCCTCTAGCGTTTTGCAGTCACTTGTTGGTATAACGGGAGAAACAAGAAGTGGCCAGGCTAACCTTAAGCTTTGTTATTACCTTAAAATACCTTTAAAAGTGTGTTCTGTTTCTGTGTTCTGTTTTAATCGCACTGTCAGTTTCAAAAAAGCTTTCTTAATAAAATTCTTAATACGCAGGTAACCGTTTAACTCAAAGTAAAGTACAGTAAAGTAATACAGTTCAGATGAACGAGAGCAATGTTCATCTTTCAAAACCAAATCAATGTCTGCCGTGTTCCACTTTTTACAATATAAGTGTATGATAGCAATATGCATCTGCCTGATTTGACAGCCCCAGATGAGCAAACCTGACAATTTCCTCTTATCCAGATTATAAAGTAAGCAAATCACCAAATCTGTGCAATTCCATCTGCAAACAATATGGTGATTAATATTTGTCCGTCATGGTCGTAGCCTGGGAACTCTTTGGACGCCATTTTTGGCACCAATGATTACCATTACCCATAGGGCCAAATGGCAGTGGAGCCAAGATAAGAAAGTACATCCAGCACAGCGTACAGTCCTGAATTGTGCTAACTGGCCCATGCTGCCGCCACTCAGTCTCCCCTTGCTTGTCTCTATGGAGACCCCTATAACTTACACCAGTGCCATGCAGACAATGGCCGCTGTGACACTGAGTTTGATCAGAGTTCTGACCTCTCACAGCGGGGTTCCGAAATCATGGCTCCCTCTAAAGTTTTCCTGCATTTTTATTGCTTAGATAAACCTCATTATAAAGGTAATCTGGGTACGACCCAAGACTGATCTAATAAATATAGCGTCGCTGTCATAAGAAAACCTTGTACCTCCAAAATAGTAGCTTTACAGAAGAAGCAAAGAGCATTCTTGACTTTTAGCGTACATTAATGAAACAAGATTTTCCAAGTCCAAGTACTTTTGAATCAGTTCTATTGGTCCATTCTTCAATCACAATGTAAAGGGCATGATTTACAAATGAGTGTAATAAAAACGGGGAAAAATGGGTTACAAGGTTTTGATGTGGCAGCGAAGATATAGAAATACAAATATGTAGCATATAAAGAGTATTTAAACAGTATAGCTACAGTGGAAAATGCATCTATGATGTTTTTGTGTTGAAAGATAAAACATACTATAAGCAACTTCTGATGTGAATACTACATAGGTTGGATGCCCCAGTGA